AAAGGTTAAAGCCTCTGCAACAGGACAGGCACACAGCAGGGCCCACACAGACCACCGTCCTCCTGACCCTTCCCCTGCATGGGTGGTGGGGTGAGAGGTCAGGCACAGGGCTCTTGTTCCCATTTTGTATTCTTGAACCAAATAGCTTGAGTTGCTCTTGGAGCACATCCTCTCCTCACTGGCACTCAGGCCACTCTATTTCATGAAGAGATGGGATAAAATTCAAGGACAACTATGTCAGTGTATACTCCCACGCTGCCACTCTCCTTACTCAGTCTGGAGCAATAGCTTCCTGTCCATTCTCTACCTTTGTAAGTCCCTGCTCCATACCACGGCCAGAGCCGTGTCTGGCAACTGTGCAGACAATGGCTGAGCACGCAAAAGACCATGAAAGGAACATTTAAAATCTTCCTTCCACTCCTCCCTTGTCCTATTGCTCGGATCTAGCACTATACTATAACATTTTCTTGAACACCCTTCCATGACTGTGCAATTTGCACACCTATCAGCGTATCCATACATAGTTTTTCTTTTTTTATACATGAATAAATACAAATTATAAGTGTTGAACAATGTCTGATCTTTGAACAACAAAAAATAATATGGGTCCATCATCTGACCCTCCTGCCCAGAGCCCTTTAGAGTTTTCATTGCTCCAGATAAAGTGCACGGCCTCTAACCCAGCCCACAAGACCGTGCCCGACCTGGTTCCTGCTTCACTCCTCCGTGTCCTCATCTTAGGCCACACAGGCACCTTGCTCTCCAAGCTTCAGCCACACGGGCCTCCTCTGAGTCCTTCAAATGGACCACTTTTCCTCCTGCCTCAGAGCCTTTGCAGATGCTCTTCCCTCTGCCTGAATGCTCACTCTCTTGTGCATTTAGAAAACCTCTTTACCCTCTAGATCTTGGCTGACCCTCCCCCCCAGGAAGGTTTTCTGACTTCCAGAACAAACCGTTGTATTACGTCTTCCTAGCACTTTGTTCCTTTGCAATCACGGGTTACTTGAATCCTAATTTTATTATTGTCTCTTGCCCTAAATAAAATGTGAGCTCCCTAAGGGCTGAGACCTTATCAGTTGGGCTTACCACAGTACTCACAATGGTTCACTCAGTTCCTGGGACAAAGCTAATACTTAAATAAATATTATGAAATTAATGAACTAATGAAAGGAAGAGACACTTCAGGCCAGGAAATAGTTTTAAGGCCCCTGCTAAAAGAAGAGAACAAGGGGGCATTGTCAAGTAAAAGTCCAGTTTCCCCACTTCTCCCCAGGCCTGGCCACTTGCCTGAGCACAGGTGTTCAGCTTCTGTTGAGGTCTCCAGAGCACAGCTGCGCGTCACCCTCAGGCCCCACATGAAAGGGCCTGGAAATCCAGCTGGCAAACATGGACCCTTAGGCCATCTCTGGCTCTAAACGTCTACAGTTCAAAGACTATAGCAGACATCCTTCAAGTCCCCAAGCCTGTGCTGGACCCTGAGTGGGTTATGAAAGGGGCACTTATGGTCTGAGTGGTCGCTCTGCACGGTCCCTTGTGGGGAGAGCAAACTGTCTGTACGTGTCCTGGACACTTCTCCCTCATGATCCTGAGCCATGACTCAGCAACTGGCCTGTAGCATCCTGCTGGACAGCCCTGCAAGCCCTGCCCTGGCGACTTGGGCTCCACATTCTGCCACCACCCTGAGCTACCTCTAGGAAGAAAGTGAAGGAAGACAGGTCTGCATTTGGGTCATTTTCCATGAAGTCAGTAAATAAACCAGCCAGTTACAAGGGGGAGGTATTTTTCTCAATCTGAACAAGATTTCAGTTTGCAAATTTCCAAGAAGCTTCAAGAAAAGCCAAACCTACTGAGAAAGTAAAAATAGAGCAAAGACAAGGAAGAAGTTGCACCCAAGAAAATGAGGATTCTTCTTCTTAGCTCCATTAATGATAATGGGCTACTCTGGGTTCACTTGATCCTTAAGACATGACCACCATAGACAAGACCCAGTGCCGTGGGGGTTCCACCAGCATGGGGGCCCCAAGGAAGGAAGAGCTGGTCACCCAGGGACAATGAGGCAGCTCAAGAAGCTTTCACAGCAAAATGGTGGAATAAATGGACTGAAAAGCACCAAAATTCAGGGAGAGAGCAAAGCAGGTGCAGAGATGTGGAAAGCAGAGCAACTCACATTCACCTGAAGTCTACTACACAGGAAGTGTAGAGTCAGGGTCGCCTTGACTGGCCTGCTCCGGATGGCTGAGAAGCCCAAAGTGTGTGGAGAGACAGGAGGTGGAGGGGGGCAGGACGGTGATGATGAAGGTGAGGAAGGCTGAGGAAGACTGTGGGAGGCATAGGTGCCCTGCTGAAGAAACAGGATACCATCTCATGAGAAAGGGGAGCTGCCGGGGGGGTTGAGCCAAGGAATGGTGCTTTGTCCTGGAGCTCATGCTCTGGAGATGATGGCAGACTGGCAGTGTTAGAAGACTAGGTCAATAACTAAGCAAGAAACTATAAGATGCGCATTTATTGGCAGCATTTTAACCAAAATTGGAATTATACAGAGACGGGCCTTGCATAAGGATGACACACACATTCATCAAACAGTCCATACTTTTTGTGTTTGATAGGGTTAGAGTCTCCCTTGGGAAAGATGAAAAGTTCTGCAGACAGATGGAGGTGATGTGATGGTAGCCCAGCAACGTAGCTGCACTTAATGCTGTAGAACTGGACACGTACAAATGATTAAAACCGTAAATTTCACCACACTAAAGAAAACTATCAAAACGGAAAAAGAAGGGTCTGAATGAATGCTGAAGAGCTTGGTTGGAAAGACGGTACAGATTATGGAGTCATTTTGAAAGAGCAACCCACAGAACTTGCTGATTAATTAGACGATGGACAGGAGAAAGAAGCAGCCTATGATGGCACTGAGCTCTCCCTGATGCTTGAATGCTACACTCTAAGAAGTAGCCTGGTTGGGCAATAAATGACTGGGGGACCCTAGTTATTCGGTGGATGGCAAGCTAACAGAAGAAGAGCTGGTACCGTCTTTTCACATTGGTCCTAAGTAAAAAGAGAGTATGACTTGGGCCCAAACCCCTAAAGCAAAAGGCCTTAACTTTTCAGCTGTGCACATGGTGGATGGTCAATAAATACTTCAATTATTGATCCATAAAATACTGAGGTTGTATTATCCCAAACCATTAACGTTTCCTGGTGGATGTTACCCTACCTTGTACAGACTTTCATTTATCTGAGAAAGAATTTTTCCTGTTCTAGAAAATATTCAACTTAGGGTTGAACTCACTAATAACTTTTTTCGCATTTTTTCCTCACTGCAGGCATAAAAATTTCAAAAAAAAAAAAAAAGTCCCTGGGCAGTTATATGAGAAAGAGTGGAGATGTTCCAAAAAGGCCCCGCGGTTTCCTGGAGCACTCAGAGGGGTTCGCTGAGCAAGAATGGGAAAAGGCAATGAGAGGCCGTTTTAGCGCCATCATTAATTAAGTTATATTCTAAAAATCATTAAAAGCAATTAGTGCTTTGTCAGCTACTGCAAACTGGAGCTCTGATTTTTTTTTTTTAACTAGTGATTCTCAAGAGGGAAAGTGTGCTGTTATAAAATAAAGCACTGCTTTGTCCCCAAATCTTTTATTCAAGGAGCTTAATATATTCAAAACATTGAGCAATGTTAAAGAAGAGTATAAATTTTTATATCTATCAAAGAGGATAAAGGATACAAATTTTGCTGATGCTTTCAAATCATTAACACTTTGTCAGGTACAGATTATATTAAGCAAGCATTTTGTATGATAGATTGTAAAAAATGGGCAAAAAAGAGGGAAAAGGATATTATATTTTTTAAGTCTCCACTAATTTTCAAGCACCATGCTCGGCACTTTAAATATGGTCACGTCTGATTCTCAAAAACTTGAGAGATTTATATTTTTAACTCCATTTTATCAAATTTTGACAGAGGCTTACGGCGTGTGTTCTCTATTGCTACACAACAAATTACCAAGAACCTAGTGACTTAAAAGTCAGTAAATATAGACATAAGGTTGGTAAATAAACCAGCCGGTTACAAGGGGGAAGTATTTTTCTCAATCTGAGCAAGATTTCAGTTTGCAAATTTCTAAGAAGCTTCAAAACAAAGCCAAAGTTGTTGAGAGAGTAAAAATAGAACAAAGACAAAGAAGAAGTTGTACCCAAGAAAATGGGGATCCTTCTTCTTAGCTCCGTTAATGATAATGGGCTACTATTATTTAACTATTTATTATCTCATAGTTTCGTAGATCAAGAATCTGGACATGGCTTCACTGGGTCTTCTGCTTAGGGAAGGCAACCTCGAGGTGTTACCAAGGGTTATGGTGTCATCAGAGGCTGGACTAGGACAGACTCTTGTCTACTATCTCTCAGGTTCTTGGCAGAATTAATTACCCTGTGGCTGTAGGATTCAGATTCACGGCAACTTGCTCCCCAAAGTCAGCAATAAAGAGCAACTCTAGCAAGAAGACTCTATGTCCTATGTAATCACATACACCCCATCACCTTGGCCACATTGCATTGTTCAGAAGCAAGTCACCAGCCCAGCCCATGTTGAACAGGAGAGAATCACACACAAGCTTAAAAACCAGAGGCAGGGATGACACCTTAAAGACTGTCTACAGTCAAGGTCATACACCAGGCAAGTAGCAGAGGAGACCCAGGTCTTTCTGACTACCAAGACTGTGTTTGGTTTCTAATCATGGCTCTACCTCTAACCATCTTGTTTACATTGAGGAAATTGCTTAACTCCACCAGGTTCTAGCCTTTTCACATACGAAAAAGTTGCTCTATCCAGTTCATCTTTAGGGTGACATTCAGTTTCTATTGACTGCAATCTTACAAGCAAGTATGGGGACAGGTATAGTGACAAGCTCCCTCCCTCCACCCCTCATGCTGCGGCAAGTGGGAGTAGCCCTCTCTCCTCACAGCAGGGAGCCACCAGCTATTTTAATATTCTGTTCTGTACTTTCTGCAGCGTCATCTATGGCATCGTGATCCGAACTATATGGATTAAAAGCAAAGCCCATGACTCAGTGATTTCCAACTGCTCAGGTAAGTCTCTGATCTGCATTGCAAACTTGGAGGCCACCATTAATTTGTTCCCACAGGGGTTTTCCTTTAGCAAATGTGAGCTGGGTCTTCCTGGATACACAAGCCTGAAGAATTATATAGGACCCAGCCAGCAAACCAGACTCACTAAAGTCTGTCCCAGGCAGATGGACTCTTTTTTCATTATGTGGCCTCCCTGAGAACTGGGAGCAGGAAAGGGAGACTTTGGGCCCGGCCAATTGTACCAGCAGAGAGTCCCTCCAAGCAGCCTTTGAGGCAGGATCTGAGTGTCATCCCAGCCTTACCCTGGAGGACACAGAGATAAAAAGAGTCTGTTTGAGGAGGACATCATATGTTCAGCTTGAACTTATGAATGGTAAAACTGCCATTTGTCCATAAAACAATCCTGGACTCTAACCCAATAAAGCACAGTCCGTACTTTCCCCTCTGTCCCAACACACCACCTCAAGCCAGACTGAGCCCAAGATCACCTTCCACAACCCTTTTCTGTAAACATATGTGGCAAGGTCCCAGCAAATGCTACGAGAGGTGACAGGGGGACCTGGAGAAAACACAGCAAATCGCAGTGCCAGAAAGGAGAGGAAAGGGCTCCTGTCTGTGTAGGATTATATGATAACTCTCCCATTCCACACCTCTCCTGACCCTTTCGCACACACATACACACGCACACACACAACAAAAGTTCACATATACCAAAATATACACACAAAAACACACCCCTTCATATACCCAGTCTCTCCAACACATGCATTTATACACTCGTGAGCACACACGTACACATACTCCCACCCTCAGGCACTCACACAGGACAACAAGCTGTAACACACATATCTGGACTAAGAAGAGCTGCTTTCTGTTTGAGATGTGCCACTGCACGCTGTGCTGCCTTGCAAAGCCATGTAACCTCTCTGGGCTCCAAGAGATTAAAATAAGAGGACAGGCTAGAGCCTTTCTAAACCCTCCTCTTTTCACACATTCAGCTAATACCTTTATTGGACCAAAACTGAGCTTCTTTTCTCCCTCTTGAAGCTCCTTTTTCTGTCAGACTGTGAGACAGCCAAGAGGATTCTCAAGTATTACTGGGCGCTGATAATCTGTGTCTGTTTCTCCAGGAGAACGAGTAAACATGTATACGGCTTGGTGTCTCCAGCCGAACTCAGCTCAATTCTGCTGTGTTTTCCTATATGTCAGGAGTAATAGATAGAGAGGGGAAGGGAAAGGGAAGAAAATATAAGAATAATTGTTTATAAATCAGGAAAGACTGAAAAAAGTCCGAATACCCTACAACAAGGGACAGAGTACAATAATTATATAGCCATGCAGCTAAATACTATAACTATAAAAATAACTATGTCAAGTACACTTAGGAAACAATGTGTACACTGTATTAGGTAGACTCGCTTTTATAAACATGTGCATATTCTAGTAGAATATATATGTGGGTGTACAGATAAATGATACTTAGCTAGGCAGATGTGTGGAAAACGTCAGGAAGGACAAATACCTGATGTTACAGTGATGATCTCGGAGTGATGACGTGTTAGTTGACTTTTGTTTTCTTCTTTTTCCCATTTAACCATATATTAACATTTTCTGTAATCACATAAATCGTACGAGATGAAACAGTAGCCCAGGGGCCCTTTAGCCTGGATGAACAGCCAATATTATTCGAGCTATATACAGATGAACTATTAATGTTTTCTAATCATCAATTCAGCCCTATAATAAACAAAGTACATTTTCAATGCACTTCCCTGTCGTAAACGTCATCCTTGGACCCTCTAAGGCCCCAGGCTGACACTGATAAGATATATATTGTTTGATGCTATGAGTCCCTATACTTTTACAAGTTTAAAACTTACATGCTCAGTGAAAGGGGAATCGTAAGATGAGATATATTCGATACACAGGTAGGACTAGGTGCCCTGCAGCACCAGAGGCCGACGTGAGAGATGCAGGAGCTTCTGGCTGCCTTCCATGCTCTCCTTGTCCAGCCTCCTGTGACACCTGAAATTCACAGCCATGAGCCAGTCCTTTTTCACATAGATATTATCCCTAGGAGAGCCCAGGATGGAGTATGTTTGTTCCCTGGACTGAGTAATCTACCTTCTATAAGTATAAACTGATTATGTGGGTTATCATTTAGCAGAGCACATGAACCTTGTTTGGTGATGAACAGGTCAAGTGTGGTAGGACCAGAGGGTTAGGAAGGTCCAGAGCTTCGGTTGGGAGGGTGCAAAGGCGACAGGGAGTCTGCTCAGGCTTCCATAACAAAATGCCGTAGACAGATGGCTTAACAAATAGAAATTCATTTTTTCAAGGTGACAAGGAGTTCAGTTCCTGGTGAGGCTTTCTTCTTGGCCTGCAGAGAGCTGCTTTGTCTGCGTCCTCACATGGCAGGAAGAGAGAGCCCAAGCTCTCTGATATTTCTTTTTATGAGGCCACTAGTTGTATCATGATTCCACCCTTTTGACTTCATCTAACCCTAATTACCCCCAAAGGTCTCATCACCAAATATCATCACATTAGGACCTAGGACTTCAAAAAACAAATTCTGGGGAGGCACAAACATTTGGTTCACAACAGTAGGGAGAGGTGAAGGCGGGGAGATTGCAGAAGGAAAGGAAGGCCAAGGAAATGAAAACAGACAAAGGCTATTTATTCAGAGCGAGCTGTAACAGGAGAGTCAGCCATCATCACTTCATTTTCCGGCAGGCAGAGGAAGGGGAAAGCTTTATAGCAGAAGAAAGGGCAGGCTCCAGGTGTGCCCTTGTTGGAGGTTGTTGACATGGGAAAGCTGTCAGTGCACTGGCTGGGTGCAGGGCACTTCCTGTCCAAAGGAAGGACATTATAGAAAGTTCAGTGGTAAATGACTGAAAGAAGAGCTCAAAACTTAAAAAATAATTTATTAAAACTCAAGCTTACAGTCTTTTGTGTGCCTCCCCCATCCCCACCCCCATGGCACTCCCTCCAGTGTTTTATCTTCAGGGAGCTATGCCAGTCTTGTCTCCTGAAGTTTTCATATGTATTTAACATCTAAAAGCTGAGCCATGACTGGTTGGTTCAGGGCCCAGTTTTGTTGGTAGGTGAGGTCTTCCTCTGCATTCAGATCCAAATCAGACTGGTTTAAACTCCTGTCCTGGGACTTCTGCTGGTTCCAGGAGGCTGGTATGCTCCTCTCTACCTAGTCTCTCTGAGCTCTTGCCCTTCCCATGTCACCTCTGACAGCTCTTCCTTATCTCCACTGGTGGCCCAGTGAGCCCTGGAACCCACCTATTTTCCTTGAGTTCACCACTCCCAAGAGTGCATAGGGCAGATAGATGCCACTGGAGGATGCTGCCAGCTACCCACCACTATTTCTCAGCGGCCTCTCCCGGCTATTACTGAGCTCCTGTCTCTCCCCAGAGCCTCCCATGTCCCTGCATTCTTGAGCTGTCCCAACCTCTAGCCACTTAGAGATTTGTTTCCCACTGACAGACAGTATGTCTTTACCCTCAAAGACATCCCAAAGATGGGAATGGCTACCATCAGTTTCTGTTCTTTAATACATTTTTATATCCTCATTACACTTATTTTGTAGTTATCTATATCTTTTATTACCATCGCAACCTTCTGGAATGAGGGCAGCTGATCTTCTCAAAAGTTCATATGCGCTCTACATCTTATTCATAAATGGAGCTCACTCGATTTCCCATCTGTCATTACAGCCAAGCAGTGCTGGAGTTGGCAGGTAAATAGGATCTCCAGCTGTGTCAGCATGCCGGGATTATAGCTCATCAACAAGGGGACATTAGCCATGATTAGTGTGAACAGAAGCTCACTTTGTAAATACTGGCTGAAAAATTCAAGTCATCCTCATTGTAAGAACCCCTCTTCTGGCTGACAAATGCATCTATTTTCTCCCACTCAAAGGCTGACACAAACAAAAAAGAAATGTTTCAAAAATGATGTAAAGACTTTCCCACACACAAGCATGCAGGGTGAACGGTAGAGGAAATGAGGTTTCCAATCTCTTATCTTCTCTTTCATAAATGAGCATGCTTTCATGCCCACGGAGATCTGCTCCGACCAAATAGTAAGTAGAATGTTCACTGCAAGGGAGACAGAGACTGGGGAGGCATATGCATATGTAAGATATATATAACAGATACATAATATATATATACACACACCCACATAACACATAATAAATAACTGTGTTCAGCCACTGTAGTTTGGCAGATGTGATGTGATCCATGATATATCCAAATTGCACATTTCAAATTAAATGTGGCACAATAGGATGGAGAGAAATGCTATGGTGCTATGGATTAGGAACTGGGTTGGGTCCTATTTACTTTCTAGCTGAATGAATTTAACAGAAGCACACTAATTGCCCCCAGTATCAGCTTCTTTATCAGTAACAGTGGATAAAATGGTTTCTATTCAAATAAATAGGTTTTTAAAAAGATGTACAAGAAAAACATAAGGATACACATAAAAGATTATAACACGTTCATGACTAGTGAGATTCAATGTTATCAAGACATTGTCCCTCCCTAGCTGATCTTCATGTTAATGAAGTTGCAGTCAAAGTTGAATCAAAACATTTTATTGAGTTTGACCAGCCAATTTAAAAATATGTAAGCACCCCAATATGTACAAATAATCAACACATTGAATCCCAAAAAGGCATAAGTGTATTCATGATCTATGTATATATGACTTAATAACATAAATAAATAAAATATATGTGCATGGAAAATTCAAGAGCCAAGAATAACTAAGTCATTCCTGGAGAAGGAAAACAAGGTAGAGGAGGTTTGATGTACCAAATATTGAGTTTTATTGTAAAGTCACAGTGATTAAGGGTGTGAAAAATATATTATATTTATATTATATTGAGAAAAATATAGCATTAAACAGACCCCAAAAAGACCTGTCCTTATATGAGAACCTGATAGATGTCAGGAGATACAAGGAAAGAAATAAAACTGGATCTT